ACAACACATCAGATAAACTCCAAAATGATAATAATGTTAGCACGGGTAATAATGAATTAAATTTCCAAAATGATATTAATGCAGGTCAGGATGACATTAATGGTTTGAATAGAGGCGATTTTGTAAATAATGATGAGAGTAATAAGGTAACTGTAGATAATGACATGCCGAAATTGACACCTATAGGAAGAACAGTTAAACTTCCTGTTCGTTATCAAAATTTTGATACCAATGGTATGCCAGATTTGCAAATGCCAAATTTAGATCCTATTTGCTTTGCCGATGCTTTAGTGGCAATAAATGAACTTCTTTCTGAACCTAATACTATTGATGAGGCACTCAATGGTAGTAATGCTAGGCATTGGAGAGAATCTTTATGTGAAACAATAGCAGGTCACATTAAAAACAAAACTTGGGACATAGTTAATAAGCCTAAAAATAAAAACATTGTTGATTGCAAATGGGTATTCAAAATAAAACATAATGTTAATGGAGATATTGAAAGGTACAAAACCCGTTTTTTAGCTAAAGGTTTCTGCCAGATCGAAGGAATAGATTATACAGAAACGTTTTCCCCAGTAGTTCGAAATGTAACATTAAGAGTTTTGTTGGCTTATGCAGCTATTTATGATTGGGAAATTGATCAAATGGATACTGTTATGGCTTTTGTTCAAGGGACACTAAATGAAGAAATATACATGAAAATTCCAGATGGGTTTAATGAATACTACGAACAAAATTTAAATGGGAAAGTTCTTAAACTTAATAGAGCTCTAGATTGCTTAAAGCAAAGTGGCAGGCTTTGGTATCTGACATTAGAAGAAGGCTTAGTTGAAATGGGATTTAGGCAAAGTTATTTTGATAGCTGTGTATATATTAAACTAAATGATAAAGAATTTGTAATTGTAGCTATTTATGCAGGTTATTTATTTTTAGCAACTCAGTAAGGCTTAAAAATTTAGCAAAAAAGCAACTAAGTAAAAGATTTGAAATGAAAGATTTAAATTATTGTTTAGGGATTAAAATAGAATGAAATAGATCAGAAGAGTCCATTAACCTAAATCAAACCCAATCTGACAATGAAGGTGGTTCCAATAAAGCACAATCAGATGATGAGTATTCTAATACAGATGAAGAAGCAAAGGGTTCAGGCTCAGACAGAAAAGACGTGTGCCACGAGATGATCGTGAAACTTGATGATGAAGGAGAAGAAGGTGGTAAAAGACGAAAACGTAAGAAAGATAGAGAATCCAAGCAAAGAAGTATAATCGTTTCTAAAAGCAACTGTTTCATCAAGTGAGAAGTCTGACAGTGGAAAAGAAAAGTCTAAAAGAAAAAGGAGAGCAAGTGCTAGCGATATTACTCAAAGTGATGAAGACAGTGGGCCTAAAAACGGGAAAGTTGCTTCTGATCAAAGAAGTGAAGATTCTGACAGTGGTAATGCAAAATCTAAAAGAAGAAAAGGAGCAAGTGATGAAGACAGGCCAAGCAAGAACAGAAAAATTGTTTCAGATACTGATGAGGATAGTGAATTAACAAGAGAATTACATCTGACAATAGTCAAAGTGAAGAAGAAAATACACCAAAAAAGGATAAGGATTGCTTCAGACAGTGGGAGTGAATATGATAAATATAAATGTGGACTATTTAACAAAAAACTGTTAATAGAACTAAGCATGAACATTATGGAAAATCAATGGGACTAAAATGATGTATTGATATTTTTTTTGCACATTTGTGATTTTCTTTTAGTATTCCCAAAAATGTAAACTAAAGTGGGAGTGTTGAAAGAATTAGTTTATATTGTTGTACATAGATGGCATCACAAATGCTGACATAGATGGCAGCAGTGCTGTCCTTAATATAACCTCTTATCTATAATAAAATATTTAGTCCAGTTTCAGCCTTTACCTAGGTATGTTGCTTCATTTTCTTGTGATCTCATGCTTAATTATTGGGTTAAGTTTTTAAAATCAGATAAATACGAAAATAGATGTTTGATAATAAAATCGCAATTTTAGAAATGCTTAAATACAAAAAGCGATATTGGATTTTTAAATCTCGTAAATAAGAGTCATAATGTACGAAATTTAAATAGCGTAAATAAGAATCACTATGCGCAACTTTTAAATCAAGTAAATATGAAAATAGATGATTGATATTAAAATTGCGTGAATAAGAATCGAGATATTTGTGGAGTCTGGACTAGGGATTTCAGATTATATTAGCCATTATAAAATGATCCAAGAGATTATTTGGTACAATATCAGAGAGTGGAAAATGAAGCCTGAAATGGAGAATATCTTGCAAAATGCAGCAGAGTTGCACATCCGAGTGCAATAATCCTACAGAACCTAGCTCAGTTTACGTGCATGCTGACTCTTAATTATTTCATCAAACATGTAAAATGATTGGCGCTTTTATGCTACAGACATAATATAAGCAAAAATGGATTGCGGTTAATTGCTAAAACTTTGAATATAACGTGAAAAGTATGCTTTTGCAAAATACATGGTAAAGAATAAAATTATCATTTTCGAAAGGGGAAAATTAAGCACTTTTAAAAAACACGCAATAAATATAGCACCTATAAGGACTTTAAAAAAAAGAAAATTGAAAAGAAGTACCTTAGCACCTTTTATAAAAGTTATGCACCATGTTTAATATTCACATTCATTTTTGAAACAAAAAGATTATCTTTACTGTTAAAAACATTTCATATTCCTAAATGTGATTTAAGACCACAAGTAAAAATGAAAACTGATTTTGAGGCAAATATATTACAGAACAGCCTGCATGTAACTCACCCATATGTAATGATCCCTTTACAAGAACTGAAAATGGACTATTGGCGTTTTGATGATCTCTCAATTCTGATGCCATCGTAGAAGATGAACTATTTCCATGCAGCCATATAAATTTGATTAGAGCAGAAGCAAGAAGAAGTGTCTGAAACAAAAAATTTTTATATTTCATTACATAACACATCTCAATTGCTCATTTTCATTAAAACTATGTCAGTTGGGCAAAAAGTTATGTACATTTTGCAGATAAAAATATGAACACAAATATTTCAAGAAAAAAAATTCCTTTATTTACACACTAATTATGAAATTATTAAATCCAAGATAGCAAGAGAGATGTTACTGTGGAGGATTTGCTATATTTTTCATGCATTAAAAAAAAGAGTAAATGAAAAAAAGGTGGTAAAAACATTGAAAAAATATTATTACAAGTTCTTACATTTAGCTACTAGGCATGCATAACATATTACGTTGTGGGCTGATTTTGAAAAAAATTTTCTTTTCTATTAATAAAATATTAATTTATAAGAGCATATATTAAAAAAATTAATACTACAAAGTTGAATTAGAGTTATTATAGTAGTTTTCTTAACTATGTCATGTTAAATTAAGCTCTATTTTAAATAAAAACAGGCCATACTAATATCTAAGCACCTTAAATCATTCTACCTTTTTTCTATAGGCTTAACTTAATTCATTCTTAACATTATTATCTATTATTACAGTAGAGCGCCGATTATCCAAACCCTTATTATCCGAACTATGTTCGAATTCACTTTTTTTCGTCTCTTTTTTAAATTTAGATTTTTTTTAAACTTATCGAAAATTTTTCTAAATTTAGAGGAACAGATAATATCCACTACATCTGAAGACCATATTTAATTTACAACCTTTTTCAGCAGTTTTCTTATAGTAGCCATAAATACATGTATTGTTATACAGTTAAACCTACAAACCTAATAAAATCGCAATTTTAAAAATGCTTAAATACAAAACGCGATATTGGATTTTTAAATCTCGTAAATAAGAATCATAATGTACGATATTTAAATAGCGTAAATAAGAATCACAATGCGCAACTTTTAAATCAAGTAAATACGAAAGAGTCTGGAGTAGGGATTTCTAAAAGGCTTGTTTGCATTGTTTTTGTTTAGACATAATAAATAAAAATTTACAAGATTAATTGAATGAGCAAATAAATATTTTTATCGCAAATCCACCTCATTTTTTTTCCCGTTTCCTTTCACGCCAAAAAAAAGAAGCAGCAACGTCAGAATTACGAAAATATGAGCTATCAGGAGAGGGATAAAAAAATGGAAAATCTTATTTTCTGTGAGTAAAATCGGAGAAAATAGCTAAAATAAGTAAAAGGTGGAAGGGTTAGCAGCTAGGATGTAGTCTGAATTTTCTGTTTATCTTTGAAAATCTTAAATAAATATAATTGTTTTATTTTTCAATGACTGAATTTTCACAAAAAAGCGAGATATTTATTATAAAAAAAAAACTTTTAGAGAATTGGAGTTTTTGATTTAAAAAAAAAAGGCTGAAATTCGAGAGACAAAACCGAAAATCCTCTAAAAAGCGGAAAAATCTCGTCCCTGATTATAAAAGTCAACCTGTTTTATCCCAAGGAATTGATTTTTAGGGAAACTTCAGAGGGAGGAATGAGGACTTCAATACTTCCGCTCGGCGGAAAATTAAATTCTTTGTGCAGAAAATTTTTTCCGCAGAAATTAGCGGATGAAATGTAAAAATCTCAAGAAAAAAAAAAAAAACGGAAATCCGCGAATCCGCGGAAGAATCACATCCCTGTTATTGGTTAACGTTTTACAAAAAATATTGAAACAGTTTATGAAAAACATATCGAAAATGGGAAGTAACTTAACCATTTTGAAATTATTACTAAACAGCAAATGTGTTACATTTAATTTTATGATGAGCTTTACATAACATTACTAAACAATCTGGCAAAAAACATGAACTAATTTTAAAGCAAACAAAAGTTGAATAAAAAGAAGAAACAGTATATTAAGTTGCAATGTTAACTGAATAAAATGATTATTAAAATCCAAGTTTGAATTTTATTCTAATAGAGAATAATAACAAAAAGTTTGGATCTTTTAATTGAGTAGATAAAAAATTTTATGTAACAATCTGCTTATCCTTAAAAAGTAAAAGCATAACAATGTAAGACTTTAAAAAAAAAATTTAGATTGTAATAAAACAAGCTATAAATAGTAAACAAAGATTTGACTTTCTTGTTAAAAGCAAATCATGCATTCTTATTTAGTACTCAGGAATAAAAACTTAAAAGTATTTCTGAAATTAAAGACTTTTAAAAACCTTGTACAAAAATAAAGTACTTCTAAGGGCTCTTATTTTCCGAAATAAAAATTAAGCAGTTTTTAAGAACTTATCACGGTCGTGGTCGCTTTTGTGTTGCCTTTAGTAGTCGAGTGATTACGTAGTGTGTGATCAAAATTAAGTAGCAACAGCGCAAGGAGGTGGATAATGTCGCAGTCACGAGTAGTAAGTCAACTGTTTAATGTGGACCATCTATCGAAGTGGACGTTACTGTCAAGGTAGAAGTCACAAGTAGTAAGTCAACTGTTTAATGTGGACCATCTATCGAAGTGGGCGTTACTGTCAAGGTAGGTGTGTTCACATCATGTCCGGGTCACCAATGTCTGCCTGATAGAGCAACTCTTTGAATTGAGTCATTTTGAATTAGCCTAAAGACATACTAATTGAGTGTAATAAATCTCAGACTGAGAGTAAAATAATGGAGACTTTTCCAATTTGCCTGATGTATTACAAAATGACAGATTTTTTAGTTAGCTCAAGATATAAAAAATAACACAAATTTAATTAGCAAACAATTAATTAATGACAGAGCTATGTCAAACTATTATAATTATAGATTTAAAAACACATTATTTTAAAAATTATGCAAAAAAACAATGAAATATTTCAAATTCAAGGAGTATAGAGCAAAAAGCAGTTTATTATAGGCGTTTTCTTAATGTCAGCTAAAATTTTACCTAAAGAAACAAAATGCAGAGTACCTGTTCTGTTTGTTCCTTTGTTTCAATATTGCACAGTAATTTGTATAAATGGAGAACAGGAGAAACTTCCAAATTTTTGATGAGAGGAGGTAACAAATGAAGAACTTGCCGAGAACAGTGTTTCAACTGAGCAGCACACCAAATTGTATCGATGTGTTCATTAGTTATGCGTCCTTCCATCGCCAGGAAATTTAAAATAATGTGGCTCTGTTTTATTAACTATAACAAAGATAAATAGAAATACTTTAACTCATAACAAAAACACAGCTACGTCAAAATCAATGCCTTAAAGCTCAATTAATAATAGGCATAGCTGCTAATATGGATAATATTAAAAAATCCAGTAAATTTTATAATAATTGTTGCAATAGGTACTAAATATTTTATGTATAGGGAATTTCAGGGATTTTTATACTCATCAAAATAGATCAATAATATTAGATCTTCAATATTTTCCAGTTATGATTAACATATAAATGAACTTGAAACGTTATGTATTATGTTTATTTGTAATTCTGAACAGTAATAGGCATTTAATTCATCAAAGATAGTTAACTGATTTCTATAAATGGGGATCGTGTCATTATGTATTAGTCACACTTACTTAAATATTCAACCAAGCAAAAATTTATTTCAATAGGATTTTTTAAAGGAAACTTACTAAATTTTAAGGACTTTTCTAAAATGTACAAAAATCAGAAGACTTTCTATTAAACCGGGAGAAACTGGCCAAATCGAGTCGAGTTGGCAGCTACGAATAAGCTTTTTATAATCTCAAACTGATAACACAATGAATATGCTGCTTAAAACATTTTTGTAAAAAAGCAATTTAAGTAATTGTTTACCCTCACTTTATTTCAAAATTCTATGATTGCTGATTATGACAGATCTCTTTTAAAGTAACAGGAAAAAAATATGGGTAATTAATGATAACAAAACTCTCTCCCACAAAATTTTTTACTCATTTGCAGAAATTAATAAATAAATGCATGACCCCTGAATTCACCACCATAAAAATTTAATAACATAAAATTGAGTTCTTTTTTCTCACAAAATGAAAAGGGAAATCTTGCTAATGTCTGAATCATGTATACAATTACAATCCGTTAATTAGAACTATCAAATCACCATATTCACGATCATCATCATATAAAATATAATGGGTCAGAAAAATTAATAAATCTTTCGATACCATACAAGAATTCTTTTAAGATTCGCATTGGTATTCATAGAAAACAAAAACTAGGCACACACAAATATCAAAACAAAAAGCAAAAATCAGGGAAAATACTCCTTAGAAATTCTTAAAAAAATTATTTTATTCACCATTTGAAATAAATATCAAATAAAATTTAAAGAAAAAAAGAATCAATGGAAAAATTATTTATCCATTTGATATACTGCTCTTTTAATTTAAAAATATGAATAGGATCTTAAAATGATCGTGCCAAATTCCATATAAATCCTAAAAGATTTTAAATTCTAGAAAATTAAATAAAAAATCTAAAATAAATGGTGGCATAAACACTACTTGAAAAAAAATTTATATTATTCACTATAGTGAAAAATACATGATCTTTTTAAAAAGTACTCTACCAGACGCGATAGTGCGCTCAACTCAAAAAGCCTAAAGATTTCTTGAGTAAAATCATTAATGACCCATTTTAAAAATATAAAATTTGTTTATAAATTTAAATCATTAATATTTTCAAAACATGAAATTCTAAATAAATTATANTTACTTTTATCTCTAATCACATTTATTTTTCCACCAAAAAAAATTTTTACAAATGAAAGAGATGCCAAGTATAAATTCTAGTTCTAATATTTTTCTATAAAATATACAAGAAATTTTATACATAAATGTGATCAATGATTTCTTGAAACTTCTGAACCTTGGATTTCCAGATACTTACAGATTGCGATGGCGAAAAATACGGTAATCCCGATTTTTTCAAAAGCAAAGTGTCATCTCTGTAGCTTTTAGACCCAGAAGAATGATACATAAAACCCGGAATACTATCACCCCTTGATCATTATTACATAAAAGATAATCGGTCAAAGAAACCAAATATTTCAATACCATACAACAATTCTTTTAAAATTCACATTGGTATTCATAGAAAATAAAAAATTCTGAGCACACACAAATATCAGAACAAACGTCAAAAAATAAGAATAAAATATTTTATTCATTATTTGAAATAAATATTATTTATTCAAATAAATTTGATAATATTAATATTATTTAATAATAAATATTATTATGAAATAAATATTATTTATTTAAAATAATGAATTTTTTGAAATAAATATTATTCGAAATAAACATTACTTGAAATAAAATTTAAAGAAAAAGGAATCAATGGAAAAATTATTTATCTCTGATATACTGCTCTTTTAATTTAAAAATATTAATAGGATCCCCTTAAAGGGATCATGCGAACAAATTCCTTACAAATCCTTAAAGATTTTAAATTCTAGAAAATTAAATAAAAAATCTAAAACAAATGCTGGTACAAACAATACTTTAAACACAAATTTCATATTATTCATTTTAGTGAACAATACATGATCTTTTTAAATTTAGTCTACTGAAGTTTTAGTAATTTTTAAAAATCCTTTGAATCAAATAAAAGTAACTAATAAAATGAATTAAAAAATATGATCCCAAGACAACTCACCTCAACATGAAGATTTGGACCAAATATACATTCAATAATTTTATTTTCCATAAGCTAGTTTGCTAAAGAACTTCCAATATTTTCAGCATCACTTAAGCTTTCATTTTGACAAAGTTCATTAAACATGTTGATATGGTTCAGTAAAAAAAGACTATAATTAGAAAATATAAAAAGTTTTTATAGATTAGTAACAAACAATAGCTTAAAATTAGAAGCATTTATAAAATTTTTTAACAAAAACATTGTATGATAACAAAGTATGTAAAAGTTAGGATAAAAGTAAAAAGGTTTAACACTGCCTTCTATTTCATAACATATCGGCCCCTATAAATATTGAATTCTTGCAGACCCATGCTTGCAGGTATCCTGAATTCTCCGAACCCCCAATGAAGTGTACAAAAGTTTTCATAAAAACAGGGATAATTGTTAGCCGAACCCAAATATCCGGAAAATTTTCTTGAGTAAAATCATTAATGATGTATTTCAAAAAAATTTATGTATTTATGAATTTAAATCATTGATATTTTCAAAACATGAAATTCTAAATCAATTATATGCAGCATTATTTAAATGAAAAATTATGTTTAAGTTTACTTTTATCTCTAATCACATTTATTATTCTACCAGAAAAAATATTTACAAATGAAAGAGATGCCAAGTATAAATTCTAGTTCTAATACTTTTAAATAAAATATACAAGACTTTTTATACATAAATGTGATCGATGATTTCTTGAAACTTTAACAAAAAATCTGGACTTGCTCTGGTTCACAATCATCTCGATTTAACTTTATATAACTTAATTAAAAATCTTCAATTACTTTTAATATTTTTTGGAGTAATAATTCTAGAGCCCTCTCCACTTGTTCTAAAACTTTTATAAAGTGTGCAACAATTTTCATAAAAAAAGCACAAAAACTACTTTAAATTTTAATAAATTTGCCCAAAAATGCTACATTTCTATTTTCTGTGTAACTTAATTAAAATTCCTCAAATACTTTTAATTTTTTATTTCGTAGGAATAATTCTTGGGCCCTCTCCACTTGTTCTAAAACTTTTTGATTTCATGAATTTCAAAAAAAAAAAAAAAAAAAAAAAAAAAAAAAAAAAAAAAAAAAAAAAAAAAAAAAAAAANCAAATGTCATAGAGAGAAATTAGTTTACATATTTCATGAATTATTTTTAAAAAAAAGTTTTTTAATTCCAATACAAAAGATTATAAAATTTTCAAAAACATTCAAGTTTCAAAGATTAAAACTTTTAATTTTTCTGAAAAATGCAAATTCATTTGTTGCGGATGAAACATCTAGTGTAACCGATGTAAAACTCTAAGAATTTTGAATTATGGATTAGTTTTCACAAAATGGAAACCATAAATAAAAGATTACAAAAAGAAAATTAATTATAACTAAGAACAAATTACTTTATGAACGAATTTGATAAACAAGAGAAAAATGTATTAACAAAGTTTTGAGTAAAACAAATACTTCTTATACACTTCTTTTAACAAAGAAATGTCTAGGAAATCGAAATGTTCTAGAAATCGAAGAACTTCGTTTTTCGATCTTGTTTGCGATTAAATAAGTAATAAATATTCATCATAATTATTAATGGCTCGACAGCCCAGTGTGGGTCTTGGCCTTCTCAAGAAGTTTTTTTTCCATGATAACCTTTTTTCTGCTAAAATTTTACAGTAATAAATATAACTCATTGTTATAAATATTACTCAAATTTAAATTGTGATGTAAGATATTTACAAAGGGCTGTCATTTGACATTTGATTTTTGCTTTCATATAAGTAAAGATGTTGCTCTGTATTTATGTAACCATATACAAAAAATAAAATTTTTACAATGTTTACAACACTCTTATGTCCTAAATTTAATTTAATGAGAATTAAATTAAATTTAGGACAGTTTCAAGGAATAATATATCCCATAAATATCACAATTATTACAATAATAATAAAATAATAGTAAATATTTTTCTTTCTTCAAAGTCAAAATCTTATAGTTCCTAAAAAATTTTAGAACAAAAAATTTCGTTAACTTTTATAGTCTTTAATTTTTTACTAAAGATAAAACTATGTACTTCTTGTCACTCTGAAGCTTTTCTGTTGCCAGACTTAAATATTTAATCAACATCATGGGTAGAAATTAAGGTCAGTGGTATTATAGTCGGTTCTAACATCAAATACTTATTACAGTCAACTATATGCTCTAATGAGGTGAAAGGGTAGGTTGGATAACAAAATCAGGGTGGCCACCCAAATCAGGTTTCAGATTTCCCTGATTTTTCCAGATATAAATCTTAAAAGTTTTAGATCAGTCTGTAATTTTTTCTCATTAAGTGTAGGATGGGTACCAGAAAAATGTCAATATTATTAAGTATTTTATTAAAAATGTTAGTTTTTAATATATTATCTTAAAAAAATAGTAATAAAAATAGAATATATATATCATAATTATACTATTACTTTGGTTGAATGAATTGTGAAAACATTGAATGGAGCGAGAATGGAACACTTTTTGCACAATTCGTGGCAAAAACCGACATAATAATAATAAAATAATTTGGAAAAGGGAACATTAAGGAAATTTTAAAAATACCCAATGAAAAAAGCACCTTGAAAAGGCTTTTAAAAAACTTTCAAAAAAAAAAGAAGAAAAAAAGCACCTTTAAGTATTTTTTAAAGACACTATGCACCCTGTTATCTCAAAATGTGTTTTTACATAGGGAGAAGAGTTAGAAACAGAATACATACATTAATTTGAGCAATCCCAGCAAGTCTCGTGGTTAAAAGTGCAGCAGTTAAAATACTTGAAAGCAAGGTCCATGCCTTCCTTGTCAAAAGTAGTATGGTTATCCAGAGGATCCTTCACTGTAGCCCACATAAATTCAAATAAATTACGTTTGCCAGCTGCTCTTAAATAACTATCTTTGATTTGACATAAATATCTGTAAAATAATGGTGTGAAAAGATTACATTTTGGGAAGCAAAGGCAATAATCATAGTAAGATAAAAACATAAAATATCTGTGCAGACAATTCAAAAGTAGCTGCAAGCTCATAATATTTTTGATAATAGAATAATTTTAATAAATGTACGTAAGCAGTTAACTATTTCATATTTTTATTTATTCTTGACAAAATATATATATGTATACCTGCAAATTAATATTAGTAGTTATACATAGAACTACATTCATATAAAATAATTATCATAATAAGTGATATTAGTAATTTTGCTCCAAACGAAAAAACATTAAAAGATTTCCTACTTTCACTGAAATTGTCCATTTCCGTTGTAAAGCGATAGTCAAGTTGAGTTGTACAAAATTGTAATATCGACTGTTAATGGTTGCAGGCTTGACTGCTAATCCTTGGACTAAAGTGGCAGTTACATCTTTTCTCTTTGGAAACAGCATGCATACAACTGAATGCAGACTTTCTTCTACCTTGCATAAATCATGGTTATGCCGTCTGCGTCATATTCCCTTCCACTGCAAACTTTTTTTTGAGCATGCGGATACTTTTTTTTTAATATTACAATTAATAGTGAAAAAGTAATTGCAAAATTGGGGAATCACCACCAATATATCCATGCACGTTGTGTGTCTATATCTAACCATGGCAGTAATAGAACTCAGAGAATAGTAAAATAGCATTAACATATAGAAAAAGAAATTTCTTTTAATTTGACAACATACAATTATAGTAGTTGACCATAGATATTACAGAGAAACACTGTGAATGGCTTGGAAACGTATCTTTTAAACGTTATCTTTAAAATAATTTTTAGTAATCACAGTATAAATAAATACAAATGTGTTCTAACAACAGATTGTATTGAAAAACAAGGACTTTTTTTAAAGGAAAAAAGATATTTTATGAGGTATATTTTTTTATGCTGCTTAGCTTGAAGTAGTAAAAACTGGGCAAGTGGCAACAAAAAAAAAATTCTGCTTTAGCCTTGTAAATTGTTATACAACCTCTCTACTGATTATGTTACCATTCACTCAAAAAACTTCAGAAAATTCTGTGAAATTCACTGAAAAATCACATGCCTTGCATATAGTTTTTTAGATCCAGAAGGATGATAAGAAAAACCTGAAATACAATCATCCCTGAATTAAGACAAAAAAAAATTATAGACAATATTACGTAAAACATTACAGTAGGATTGTATTAAAATTTTAAAGAAAAAGTACATTTATGTGCATTCAAAGAGGGTTGTCTAATCTTCGCAATGTTTATGTACAAAACAATGTGAAAAACATAAATGAAAATTTATACATTCATTTTGCTTACTTAGCACCGAAAATGCAAGTATTTTGTCATCTAAATTGGAAACATTTCAGTTATCTACAATAATTCATTTTGATAGATTGTCTTTACAGTTATCTACAATAATAATTTATTTTGATAGATTGTCTTAAGTAATACTTTAAGTATTGTTAAATAACTAGTTATACATTAGGTATTTCTTTATATTCATTTTGTTATAGATTAAGTAGTGTTAACTGATAGTTTAAGTAAAGTTAAGCATTTAATTATATGTTAAGTATTTATTTAGAATAATTAGGTATTTTTATAGAAATAAAAACTTAGCTATGAAGTAATTATTTAGAATTATTTTTAATCCTTCATTCAAAAAATACAGTAGAAATTTTTTAAACATAAATGGTTGCAAACTGACATACTAATTATTAATGGAGCTTGCCTTTTTTGAGCAGTAGCATATTTATACAGGGTGCATAGCCAAATCTTTCAACAAAAAGTAAGCAACTTTTAGTACTTCTAAAGCACCCAAAGAATATTTTTAAGTATTACATACATTAACAAAATATAAAATAATTTTCAAAGATTTTACATGATCATGATAAAATAACTAGTTTCAGACAAAGAACTCTTTTCTTGATTATATTGGCCGTTATCAAAAGATTTTTTGGTTCAATATCAGAGGGTGAAAAATGAAGCCTGAAATTGAGAATATCTTGCAAAATGCAGCAGAGTGCAATAATCTCACCTAACCCAACTTAGTAGATGCACAAGCCGACTTGCAAGTATTTAATCAAACATGTAAAATGATCGGCGCTTTCATACGCTAATGACCGACCGTATACTGAAATGGATTGTAGTTGAATGAATGGTGAAAACGTTTAATAGTAGTACAATGTGAAAAGCATAATTTTGCATAACACGTGCCGAAAATCGACATGGCAAAGAAAAAAATCTCCTTTTGGAAAAGGAGGAAATTACAGTTTTTTAAAAACAGTCACTGAAAAAAGCACCTTTAAGGGCTTTTAAAAAAAGAATATCAAAAACAAGCACCTTTAAAAACATTTTAAAAATGCTACGCATCTTGTTATACTGTACTCAAGTTATGGCTCAAGAGATATGTAAGGAAGGAAATAATATTTCTGCTGTCGACAATGTCTCATACTTATGGTGGACTGTGTGGCTACCAGATTGATTTTTAATTATTAAAAAAATCAATACTCAGAGAATTTTGGCAATATCACAGTTAAAACTGTAACCAAAGTACTTCCCCCGGGCAACAGCTAATTGGGATTAACATTAAAAAATTTTAACATTGTAAAATATTATATTATTCATAACAGAACAAAATAAATATTAAAACATCTGGACATAGACAATTAAAATATATATGTATATTTTACCGTATCACTCCTGAACGAGCTAGCATTATGGTGCCTATGTTCATCCACAGCTTTAACTATAAGAAAGAGACAAATCAAATTATTGGTCTATTATGAAAAATAAAACACTAACAATATCATTTTCCTATTGGAATGTTCTTTAAATATTTAACTTTAAATTCAAATTTTACTAGCATCTCATCTAAAAGTTTTTACTCAATGACAGTGAAAATGAGCTTGGTAAAAAGTTTCTGAAACAATGTTGGCTATAACATTTCAATAAGAGTATTATCGATTGCACTAGAAAACATTTAAGCTGAAAAATTTCATACATAAATAGATCTTTTTAATGTTATTTCTAACAACATTGTGGTTTGCAATCACAACATACATTATTGTAACGTTGTGATATCACAAAATTTAACATTATAGTGTTTTAAAAAAAAGTTTTCCTAAAGTAAGAGATGCGCAATAATAGCTCTTTGAAAGTGAGGAACGCATTTTTCTATCACAGTTACTTTTGCTTCAAACATAACTTTAGGGTGCAAAGCTAAATCTTTCAACAAAAAATAAGCACCTTTTATGTACTTTTTAAGCACTGACTAAACATTTTTAAGCACCATACACATTAAGAAAATGCAAAATAATTTTCAAAGACTTTATATGATAATGATAAAATAACTAGTTCCTGATAAGGAACTCTTTTCTTGACTATATTAGCCATTATAAAATGATCCGAGAGATTTTTTGGTTCGATATCAGAGGGTGGAAAATGAAGCCTGAAATTTACAATATCTTGCAAAATGCAGCAGAGTTGCACTTGAGAGTGCAATAATCTCAATTAACCCAGCTCAGTAGATTCACATGCGGACTTCAAAGTATTTCACCAAACTTGTAAAATGATTGGAGCTTTCATACGCTATGGACCGATGGTATGCCGAAATGGATTGAAGTTGAATGAATGGTGAAAACTTTGAATAGATCAATGTGAAAAGCACGCTTTTGTATATTATGCAGTGAAATTTTTCATGGTAAAAAAGGAGAAAAATATTTTCGAAAATGAAATATTAAGCACTTCTTAACACCCAATAAAAAAAGCATCTTCAAGCACTTTGTTAAAAGGCTACACACCATGAACTTAGCATCTAATTTATTCAACAAAAAATAAGCACCTTTTATGTATTTTTTAAGCACTGACTAAACATTTTTAAGCACTATACACATTAACAAAATGAAAAATAATTTTCAAAGACTTTATATGATAATGATAAAATAACTAGTTCCAGATAAGGAACTCTTTTCTTGACTATATTAGCCATTATAAAATGATCCGAGAGATTTTTTGGTTCGATATCAGAGAGTGGAAAATGAAGCCTGAAATTGACAATATCTTGCAAAATGCAGCAGAGTTGCACTTGAGAGTGCAATAATCTCAATTAACCCAGCTTAGTAGATTCACATGCGGACTTCAAAGTACATATTTCACCAAACTTGTAAAATGATTGGAGCTTTCATACGCTATGGACCGATGGTATGCCGAAATGGATTGAAGTTGAATGAATGGTGAAAACTTTGAATAGATCAATGTGAAAAGCACGCTTTTGCATATTATGCAGTGAAAATTTTCATGGTAAAAAAGGAGAAAAAATATTATTTTCGAAAATGAAATATTAAGCACTTCTTAACACTCAATAAAAAAAGCACCTTCAAGCACTTTGCTAAAAGGCTACACACCATGAACTTAGCATCGAATTTAAATCAAAGCTCTGATAAATTAATACATCATATAATAAGAGAATAATAATATTAATACTTTCATAAATACTACTTTTTCAGCAAAGTAGCACAACTTTTTTATCAATGTAACAAAATATACAGATTTAAATTAAAGGTTAAATAATAAAAAAATTAGCTGCAATGAAAAACAAGTACAAGGTACAATGTGTAATTATTAATATTATTGTTTGGAGATCACTGCACTTAAATTATAATATAGATTCAACGAGAGCTGAAATTATAATGTTTAAACACGCTTCTTCTCGCCCCCCTCCAAACAAAAAAAGCTACATTATAATAAATGCATGATTATTGTCAGATAATTATTTTGTTCGCTATTTGCTTTGATGATACGTATAAAATTCTGATAAATGTAAAACATTTTCAAACATGAAACCTTTTAGTAAATTTTATTTTAAGAGATCTAGCGCAGAAAAAATCACACTATAAAATATCACAGTCATCTTTCAATAACTTTTGAGTTTAATCATTAATTGTTATTAATCAATTTATAAATTTCAGCCATTGATAAATAATTTTTCCAAGGAATATCCAATTTCCAAGACTTATCAAAAATTAAAAAACTTTGTGTAAAAGATAACTAGACAGTTTTTTTTAATATTAAAAAGCAGTTATTATAAAGAACTCGATTTCATAAAAACAGGGATAATTGTTAGCCCCGAACCCAAATATCCGGAAAATTTTCTTGAGTAAAATCATTAATGATGCATTTCAAAACAATTTATGTATTTATAAATTTAAATCATTGATATTTTCAAAACATGAAATTCTAAATCAATTATATGCAGCATTATTAAAATGAAAAATTATGTTTAAGTTTACTTTTATCTCTAATCACATTTATTATTCTACCAGAAAAAATATTTACAAATGAAAGAGATGCCAAGTATAAATTCTAGTTCTAATACTTTTAAATAAAATATACGAGACTTTTTATACATAAATGTGATCGATGATTTCTTGAAACTTTAACAAAAAATCTGGACTTGTTCTGGTTCACAATCATCTCGATTTAACTTTATATAACTTAATTTCTCTTAATTTTTTTACTCTTAATATTTTTTGGAGTAATAATTCTAGGGCCCTCTCCACTTGTTCTAAAACTTTTATAAAGTGTGCAACAATTTTCATTAAAAAAAAAGCACAAAACCTACTTTAAATTTTAATAAATTTGCCCAAAAATGCTACATTTCTATTTTCTGTATAACTTAATTAAAATTCCTCAAATACTTTTAATTTTTTATTTTGTAGGAAAAATTCTTGGACCCTCTCNAAAAAAAAAAAAAAAAAAAAAAAAAAAAAAAAAAAAAAAAAAAAAAAACTGACTGTTAGGGACATCACTTACACAAATGTCATAGAGAGAAATTAGTTTACATATTTCATGAATTATTTTTAAAAAAAAGTTTTTTAATTCCAATTTAAAAGATTATAAAATTTTCAAAAACATTCAAGTTTCAAAGATTGAAACTTTTAATTTTTCTGAAAAATGCAAATTCATTTGCTGCGGATGAAACATCTAGTGTAACGGATGTAAAACTCTAAGAATTTTGAATTATGGATTAGTTTTCACAAAATGGAAACCATAAATAAAAGATTACACAAAGAAAATGTATTATAACTAAGAACAAACTATTTTATGAACGAATTTGATAAACAAGAGAAAAATATATTAACAAAGTTTTGAGTAAAACAAATAAAAAAATACTTTAAATTATTATTATGTAAAGACATTAAGATTGACTGCTGGTAAAAATTATAAGAAAAAAAGGAATTCTAAAAAAAATGTCAAACAGCAGCCGTTGCCATAGCAATGTATGCAAAAAGGACGCATGCACACTGTTTACAATTGCTCTTGAACACAGTTGAAAAGTGTGATGGCGTCCAAATAATGTGCGCATGCCATGAAACGCAAACCAATATCCATTTTGCCAAGGGGTAATAAAAATGCATTAATAATTTTACAACACTTTTAATTCACAAAACTAAT